TTCAACTTTGTTCTTTATTTGCTTCACACTTGAGGGTTGCTCTTCAGGTTATTCACTCACACCAGCAACTCACCCCTCATCCATTCAGCCTATCAAAATCAGGAACCCAACTGTTGGTTTCAAGGATAAACATGTGACCTTATGAGGAACTAAAGATTCAGAGGTGAAAACTGCCAAGTCTCATACTCAAGCCTACACCCACCATAATCACTAGGAACCTTCTGATTGAGACAGGCCATGACAAAGCTTGGAAAAGAGACAGATGAAAATTTGTATGCATTCCTTACAAGACTAGGAACAGGATTTAAGTTTTGGACTAACTTCAAGATTTTGGTACCACAACCTCAGTGACCCAGTCATTAAAAACACCCCCTACTTAAGGGTTAGTAAGAGCGAGACTAAGAGCCCATTTAAGTTACCACCACTTCCCTGTGACATTTCTCCCAATTTTGAAACTGTCAAAATTGAAGTTTAGTTTTAAAATTGGGTTTGTAAGTGCCCAATAAACTTGGGTTGAATATCACATCTGTAAAATACAAAGCATGTTCCTTTTCCCAAAAGCAACTAGAGTTGCATTTCTGGTAAAGAGTGGCTTTGGCTCAGAGATTATTCCTTGTGACCTATTTGGGGTGTATCTCTGTTTAATGGCAAAATGTACACATCCCACAAAACACACATTTAAGAGTGAAACCACTGGTTTTTTTTTTGCAACACCTTTCAAACCCCAATGAGGAAGAAGTAACTGTGACCTTCAAGAAATTATCTTCTCCTCAAGGGAACCCTACTTTTCTTTTATAGAAAACAAGCCCTCATGGTAACAGAGAACTAAAAACTCTGCTTTGTAAAAAGTCTGCTCCCCGCCCCCCCCAAAATTAGTCTTCATTAAGAACAGAACTTTTGCAAGGCAAGGACTCATCCTGCTACTTGGAGGCCATGGAATGGTTTTCCTTCTCCAGAAACCATGCAAAGGACCATTACATCCAGCACACCTAGAGTGAGGCACAAAGAGACTTTCTGATCTACTCCAATGGAATTGGCAACTCTCTCTAATTATTTAAGAATAGAGAAGATCAAATCACTTGAGAACCCCAGAGTGCCAGCAAAACAGAACCCATGAGCTATCCTGCTGGCAGACTCAAAGACTTACCAAAAGTCACCTTCTATTGGCCCCTCTGGCGGCTTGGTGACCACAGAGAACAGTTCAGTTTTCTGAACATGCATGTGCATACACACATATGACTAAGAAGGCGGAGAGAGATCTCGATGACCGGTCGTTTTATATTCAGGCCCAGGAAATGGGCAACCTCTTCCTTCCAACATGGTGGTCTCTGTACTTCCCCCCACAGGTGGCCATCTGCGTTCTGAATTAAACAGGACTATAAAAGGATGACCAGACCTCCAGAATAGCACCCAGACAACCATTAGGAGTAAAAAACCTTACAGCAAAACACATTTTAATGTGGAAAAGAAGGGACTCAGACTCTATTAGGCGGCTCTTCTCAAATGGCACTAGTTATTATGGATGGCCCCCTCAATACAGGTCAGATTTCAGCAGAGAGCACTTGCTTTCATTCTGGACAGAGTTCACACGACTGTGAGTTCCTCTGCCCAGCAGATTCAGAGGAGGTGAAAGAAGGCAGAGGACTACAGAAGTGACCCCTGCAAGGTAACCACTTTCCATTCCATGTTACTTGGCTTTCGTAAACACCCTTTCCTGAGACCACAACGGTGACCTGGCAAGGTAAGCAGAGCAGGTATTGTCTCCATTGTACAGGTGGAGACACGGTTGACTCAGAGGTGAAATGACTCACTCGCACAAGGTCACAAGGCAGGCAGTTAAGGAGCGGAGCAGCCCAAGCAGGAGAGGAGCCCAGCCCTCTGACAAGCAGGCCGGCGAGACTGCCACAAGGTCCCCCAGCTTCCTTGTGTTTCAGGATGAGAGGAAGCAGACGGTAATGGCTAAGAGGTCAAGTGGATTCTGACACTGGCAGGCCTGCACTGCAATCCCAGCTCTGCCTCCCATTAGCTGTCTGGCCTTGCGGAGGTTCCTTAACCTCCTTCGACACCTCAGTTTCCTCACCTGTAAAATGGGAATAAAAACATTTTACCTCCTACTGTTACAGTGGTGAGTGATGGACATATAGCATTCAAATTCATCCACTCAACAAATATTTGTGGCTGGCACGCAGAGTGTAGGAGTCACAACAGTGATCAAGAGGCACAGTCTTGCTCTCAGGGAGTAAATATTCAGTCGAAGTAAACAGAAAGAGTATATGGATAACCAAAGTGTGTTAAGTGCTATTAAGGTAACAGCTGAGTGATGGGAGAGATTGACAGGAGGGAGGCAATTCTGATTGGTCCCTGAGGAGAAATTTAAGTAAAGTCTAAAGGGATCATAAAAGGTTACCCACGTATGGAAAAGAAGGAGAAGTATTCCAGGCAAAGGAGACAGAGCAAGCAAGCTAGGGTCACAACCCTGGCGAAGGCAAATGTGACTGCCCTGTATCTTCGCAGGATTTGGGGAACAACCTTTAGAGGCTGTATCTGTATTTTAAAAATAACAAAGACTCAAAAGAGCTGAGGTGTCTCATCCAAGGTCTCAGCTTCTCCAAGGAGGAGGAGTGCTCACTGAACTCCCCTACTTACTTCACAGACAACTGTTTTCTGTGCCCATGAAGAGATCCAGAAGCACCTTGGAAACACAAACAACGACATCACAACAACTTCCAGACACCTAGTCAGCCGTGCCCTGAAATCCTTACTCCTCTGCTCCTCAGACACAAGAGTGAGAACTGCTGGGACCTTCCCCAAAGGCCCTAAGATGGAAACAAGTTTCTCATCGTCGCAAGTGAGCGGCGAACAAGAGAGGAAAGGGATGTCCTGGAAGGAAGGGCCTGTGGCCTGTTCCAGAAGGCGAGAGAGAACCACCACTGCAGATGAGCGGAAGCATCAAAGTTCCTCTCAAATGAGCTGCACAGGAAAAACTAATTATTTCACTCGAATAAAACAACAAATCCCTAAGGCAGTGGTTCTCAATCAGGTGACACCCGGCCCCAATCAAGAGCACTCTGAAACTTGTGTGGGTGCTGAATGGCAGAACCAGGTATGTCCAATGTCCTGCCAAAGGCCAAGATGGCCCTATGATGACTGTATTACTCGAAATATTAACAGCCACCCCCAACACACACACTTTAATGTCAACCCCTCAAGGGATTAATATGCTTCAACTTTTCCTGTAGTCCCTGGTTCAGTGGCTCTTCCTAACCTCTGGCTGGAAAAAGAAAAAAACAATTAAGGTTTTACAGCTGAGGGGTCGGAATTTTAGAATCCAAATGCAAGCTCATAACTCCGGCATGGAACTTGGTGGCAGAATAAGGAAAAAGAACTTTCTGGTAAAAGACAGACAAGAAATTTGAGCAGAAAAAGGGAACTCCTACTCTAAGATTACATTCCGGCAACACAAAAAATTCTACCTGTGACTTTTGAGAACCGCCTTATAGTTATTTTCTGTTTAAACTCAGACACTAATGACAGTTCTCTTAAAAACTTAACTACAATCACCTCAAAAATACACCTGATCCTTTCTAGACCAAATTTTATAAGGAAGATTACTAAGTTCAAGATGTCTAAAGCTGCTCAAATGATGTCTGAAAGTGCCAGAGGTAATCAGGCCCTACATCTCTTCAAGGCAGAGTCCATGATATCTAGACATCTGTGCAGGGGTTAAAATTCCATCCTAGCAATGAAAAGCCACTTTCAAGGATTATCCTATATTAGTCACTATTCCTCCCTAAAAATCATTTCACAATCAGTTTAAAGAATTGAAAAAAAAAAGAACATTATTTCCAGAAATAGAGATCCTAAGTGTCTCCCCTATTTCACAAGAGCAAGCAGTGATCGAACAGATAAATCCTCCATAGAGCAATCTTTCTTCTACACAGTATCTAAATTTTCTGAAGTCGCCCAAAGGAGCCTGAATATGCTAACTTCTTCACTCCAACTTGCCAATTAGTAAATAGCGGCCCCACACCCCTTCTGACCAATTTTCTAGAGGCCTAACCTGATTTCTCAGGTTAGCTAAGCAGACGGACCTGTTTTCCTCCAGAAGCTCCTGCCAGTGTCTTTTCTGCCCTGCCAGAGTCTAGGAAATCCTCCTCCAGCTTTTTGCTGACCTGTCACCAGAAGTTCACAAAATGAATTCAACCAGGTCCTTTGACTCCTCCTTTCCCCCTGACATGTGCCAACAGCCGGGCAAGAGAACTGCCATGTCTTGGACACAAAAAGATGCAGAATACCCAAGCACTTTAGCATGGAGGAGAAGAAAAAAGATGGAGGGATCCAAGAGTCACTGAGCCAAGGCTGCTATTGCATGCAGCCGGGTAACCAGAGCCCCGGTCCCGCAAAGCCTCCCAGGGAGGCTCCCTGGCTGGGCCCTTCGACCAGCAGGCCACACCTGTCTATGGCAGCAGCTTGGCGGCCGCTCCATTTTAAACAATTCAGATTTCCAACACAGCCGCAAAACTGGGTACCCACTTCTTCAGTAAGAGCAATTGCCCTCATCCAAACCCCACCTGGCCCCAATTTTCTTTTCACACCCTTTGTCTGAGATGCTCGGTCAAACTGGATCCTTCTGTGTTACCGGAGTACCCAGCACAATGCAGCAGTAACAGAAAGGAAGCACGGAGGCCGATTTGCTACCAGCCAGACTTCTCTGAGGACGGGAAGGCCAATGAATGAGACTTCAACAGGCATCCACAAGTGAACCAACGCTTTAAGTCCTGACACACCTGGCTCTCCTCGGCCTCTCAGAAAGCCTTATTTCTAGAGGGTGGGTATTCCATTCATCCCTTGGCTTCAAGAACCAAGGGGACAGCAGCCAGATCCAGGTCGCGCACTCTACCTCCAGACCGTTTGCGTGCACGCGTGCGAAGGTGCGGGGCACCTCGGCGCGCCCTTCCTGGCACCCCACCCTCCAAGGCCTCCGGCGCCCGCGGACTCACCACTGTGCGAGCTGAACCACCGGGGTGCGATGTGCAGAGGTAGAGCATCCGCCAGCGAGGCTCGGGAGCCCAGGTACAGCATCCCGTCTCTATGGTGACCGCCACCCGTCTCCTGGTAACCATTGCCGTGGGCATAGGTGGAGTCGGACGCCGACCCTCCGCTGCCGGGCGCCCTCTCGGCGTCGCCGGCCCCCCGGGAGGCGGGGGTGTAGAGGCCAAAGGGCACCCCGCCGGCCGTGCTGGGGTCCATGCCCATGCCCGCCACGGAGCTGACCGAGCGGCTGCGGAGCCCCATGGCCCCGCCGCCCGCCCGGTAGTGCCCGAAGTGGGGCGCCCCTCCCGGCGGGGGCACGGCGCTGTCGTCGGTGGAGACCCCCGGGAAGGGGCCGCGCGAGCGGGCCGCCGTGCTCTGCTTGCCGCCCATGCTCGCCCGGGCCCCGGCGGGGCGGGAGCCTGCAGGCCGAGACCCTCCCCCTGTCCTCAGCGGCGGGGGCAGGGCTGGGCGGGCATACGGGGGGCGCAGAAAGGAGACCGGAGGGGAAGGGGAAAAGAAGGAAAAAGAGAGGACCCGGGCGGGACCCAGACTACGGGCTGCAGGCGTCCCGAGCCCGGCGCATGTTTCCCCTCACGGTCCGGAGAGGCGCGGCGCGCGGGCTCAGCGCGCCCCAGGCCGCCCCCGGGCTCCCGAGGGCCGGGCGCCGCGGGGAGGAGGCCGCCCGCCCGGCAGCGGCCGCCGGAGGAGGAGGGCGGGGGCGCCGGCGCGTGCCGCCTCAGGACGCCGAGGCCGGGACGGCGGCCCGGACCCCCGAGGCCCGGGCGGGCTGCGGCGCCGGCGGCCCGCGGAGCTCGCGAAGCCGCGCTCGCGTCGCGCTCTCGGCCCTGCCGCGCGGGCCCCGCCGGCCGCGCCGCTCGCTCCCGGGCTGCGCTCGCCGGCGCTCCTCGCCGCCGCGGAGACAATGGAGGGCGGCAGCGCGCAGGCGCGGCGGCGCCCCCGCCCCCCGCGTTAACCCCTTCGCGGCCCGCGCGGCGCCGGGCGGGGACTCGGGGCGGGGACGCCTCGACCGTCTCGACAGCCCCGCCCGCCCCACCCGGCCCGGCCCGGCCCGACCGCCTCGGGGCCGGAGTGGCCCGAGCCGCGGTCAGGACGAGAGGCGGCGCGGCACCTTTAAGCCCCCGAGAGCAGCTGGTCATTCAGGGGGAATCCTCCCGTGGGCGGGGGGCGGCGGTGGTCCGGGGGGGTGGGAAGGAAACCCGAGGAAGAAGAGAAAGGACTCCAGACGCCTACCTAGCCCCGAGGGTCACTGGTCAAGCTCCCCTCCCGGCACGAATTTGCACCCTCAGCACCCTCTGCTGGACATGCTGTCCGTTCTATCTGAGGTTCAACGTCCTGGCACCTCCAACACCAGGAAGCTTAGCGTTCTGGGACTTGATAGTTTTTCCTGGATTAAACAGGGCTGGGGGCGGGGGGGGGTGCTTGTGATTCCAGATTTTGCTGCCAGTAGATCAGAAATTCCTATTTTGGACTTAAGCAAATGGGTAGATCCTTAGATAAAATGCGATTCTGAAAATCATCAGGTGTACGATAAAAAACAAAAAGATAACAGACGTAGAAATCTAATAATGCAGCTAGGACGAGTCATTTTAGAAACTCCCTGGTTCAAGGAAGGACTCCTGTTTTGTTTATCGTTTATCCAGGTATGCATCGCAGGGACTCGGACACAGCAGGTACCCAGTATTTGCTCACCGAGTCTGTGTTTCGCAATGTTTCCCTCACTTACTCACATTCACTCACTCATTCATTCTTTCGTTCATTCATTTGTTCAACAGCTATTTTTTAAGTGCTGAGTGCTGGCTAGGACTATCACTCAGTCCCTGGTCTAACTGACTTCCTTGTTCTCAATGTCAGATACTAACAAAGCAAGGAGCCAAAACAGGGTGTAAAGAAACATTAAAACTAAAAAAAGAAAAGTTGATCTGTCATAGGTAATGATTGTCCCAGTGTGACCAGCTTGGAAAGAATAGGAGGCTTTTCCAAGCAGCAAAGAGCCCTGCAGAAGGAAGTTGAGATTTCTGTATGAGAAATGATGGAGAAAAAAACAGAATGTTTTAATACCCAAAAAGTCATCTGTAAGTTTCCAAATGGGGAATGTGTATTCAGCTAAGATCCAAATGAGTGATTTGAAGAAAAACAAGAAAGGTTAAATTTAACCCAGTTTCCTCCCTGAAGAAAGAAGAGGGGTAGTTCAGTACTGTGCAGAAAAGAGGATACCCTCCACAGATCTCTACTGAGGAGATAAATATATAATCCATAAGTATTGTAGCCTTCTAACTTGCTTTTGATATACCTATTCATACAACACTTTTTTTAAAATGTTGAACAAAATATGAACCTTTTTTTTTTTTTTTTTTGGCTGCACTGGAAGGCTTGTGGAATCTGTTCCTTGACCAGGAATCCAACCTGGGCCCCCAACGGTGAAAGCACAGAGTCCTAACCACTGGACAGCCTGGGAATTCCCAAAATATGAATTTCTAATAAGTGCCAGGCATTGCACTAGGTTTTGGGATATGATGGTGAGCAAGACATATGGAGTCTTGTTCTCATAGGGCTTCAGAAGAAACACTAACTTAAATGTTCATCAACTGGTGAATGGATAAAGCAAATGTGATACATCCATACAATGGACTGTTATTCAGTCATTAAAAGAATGAAGTGCTGATACATGCTACCACATGAATGAATCTTGAAAACACTAAATAAAAGAAGTCAGTCACAAAAGACCATATATTTTCTGATTCTGCTTGTATGAAATGTCCAGAATAGGTAAACTTATTGACAGAAAGAAAGGTGGGGGGTGGGGGAAGGGAGGGAGGGGAGAATGGAGAATGACTGCTACTGGGTTTCTTTTTGGGGTGATGAAAATGTTCTGGAATTAGATAATGGTGATGGTTGTATAACCTTGTGAATATACAAAAAAAAAGCACTGAATTGTACACTTAAAAGGGTAAATTTGACAATCTGTGAATTACAGTGCAATAACACACATACACATATATATATATGAGGTATCAACATAGGCAGTGACACTCCAGTATGGTAGATAAGCCTAAAACAGTGTCTGCAAGTAAGCAACACTCAATATATGTTTATGAAATGAATGAATGAGTAAGTGCTGTGAGAATTCAAGACCGTGAGCTGATGGAAGGAGACAGGAACAGACATAGTGATTCTAAGCCAAGACCTAAAAGATGAGTTGGAGATTAGCCAGGGAAAGCAGGGTGGGGGTGGGGAATTAGCTGTGTTTCAGGAAGAGAAGAATGTCCCAAGCAAAGGGAACAGCATGTTCAAAGGAACTGAAAGATGCAATTGAGCTGCAAAGAGAGGAAGTGGGAACCAAAGATGAAGCTGGTCCTCAGAGCTGACAAGAGAGTCCAGGGTAGCCATGAACTGTATCCTAAGGGGTTGGGGAGCTGTGGAAAGATTTATTAACATCTTTACGGTTAAAAATAGTAACAATTAATAAGGCCAAATGGTTAATGAGCCCTGAAGATGCTGCTGCTGCTGTTTAGTCACTAAGTCCTGTTCGACTCTTTGCAACCCCTTGGACTGCAGCCCGCCAGGCTCCTCTGTCCATGGGATTTTCCAGACAAGAATATTGGAATGGGTTGCCATTTCGTTCTCTAGGAGATCTTCCTGACCCAGGGATTGAACCATGTCTCCTGCATTGGTAGGCGGATTCTTTACTGGTGAGCCACCAGGGAAGCCCCAAGCACTGAAAATACCAACTTGAAAAATTAAGAAACTTATCCTCTCTGTAAAGTTGTCTGTATTTTTCTTAGCTTACGTATGGATAAAGATATGAGTGGAAGACTGGATGGAAACATGAAACAACATAATGTAATCCTCTGGGGGGTGGGAAGTAGGAACTGGAGAGCTTGGGTGATGAATGGGAAATGTTTCATTTCATTATATACTTTTTTGTATTTTAGTGTTTCAACAGAGAGCCTAAATAAAGAGAGGGAGGGGTATATGAAAAGTGTAAACTACTGAAAGAAGCAAAGCTGAACTTCTAAGCTTTACAGTGAACATGCTCATTAAGCCCTCTTTGGATGACAATTTCATTTTTTCTCTGTGCTTCCCAATGGGGTGAAAAAGATTAGATCTGCCTAATAACTGTATTTCTTTTTATATATTAATTATTTGCCCTTGAGGAATATATTCCAGTCTACTGGTTGTCCTGTCTCTCTCACATCTGGCACCACTGAATGGCTGAGAGTTTAATCTGCAAAGGTGAAGCCCCTGCTTTCTGCAATGTGATGACACTGAGCTTAAGTGGCCTGTGGGACCTTGAATGGCAGTCTTTCTCAGGCAATGTCCTTGTTATCTCCTCGCGCATTTATTCAGTTGACAAATTTCCCCCTGAAATAAAAATATTAACATATAGAGCAAGGAAAGTTCTTCATTCAGTAGCTTGATTCTGTCCTTTACATCTTAGAGAGAGTGAACCATGCCATAGCAACAGGCATCCACCAAAACCTGCAGCCTCAGATTAGTTTCATTTTGTCATTTGTTGCGTCAAGAATCCAGTATGTGTTTTGCTCCAGATCTCTCCTGTGGGTTCTTGATTTACAGTTAATAGCTCTGGGGAGAGGTGGCAAGTCATTCTGGACACACTTGATGCAAGGATACCATATGCAAAAATGGCTCTAGCTAGACGAGAACCCTCTATTTTATTTTTTATCTTCGCGTTCTCACTGACCCTGAGGGAACTGTTTCCTGGTTCTCTGCCAACTGTGAACCAGGATTAATAAATCACTGACCCACCTACCGGAACAGTCAGGAGAAAGAGCTGACAAAATCAGCATTGCCTGTAATCAATATTTTATAATAACTATAAATGGAGTATAATTTTTAAAAATTGTGAATCACTATGCTGTACACCTCAAACTTTTATAATATGTAAATCAACTATATCTCAATTTTTTTTGTTACAAATCAGCATTGCCAAAGCCATTTGCCTTTGCAATGTGAGTGTGTAACAGTGACGCAAAACCCCAGTTTGGAACATCACCTGGAAGAATGTAAGTCTGGGAGCTGAAGTTTCAGAAAATGAAGGAAAAGCCTTGTTAGGGCCTATTCCTGGGAAGTAGCCAGGCTGGGGATGACCTCCCATGGCTTCTAGGAGATGACAAGTGTTTCCAAGTAAGAAACATCCTGTCAGCCCTCTCATAGCTCCTGGTTTTGTTTTGTTTGTTTGTTTGTTATTGGCATTGTTTGTTTTATTTTCTTGGGGTTTTTTTTGGCCACACCCTGCAGCATGCAGGATCTTAGTTCCCCAACCAGGGATGGAACCCACATCCCTCACACTGGAAGCCTGGAGACCTAACCACTGGACTGCCAGTTAAGTCCCCTCTCATAGTTCTTTA